ACACTTGAGGGCAAAATAATAAGTAACAGAAGGAAAAGTCAGAGAGATGCAACCTAGAAGTAAGAAGAAATGTCTTGACAGTGAGAACAATTAGTGGAAAAGCTTGCCTTCAGATGTTGTGGGTGCTCCACCATTGCAGGTTTTTAAGAAGAGATTGGACAGCTGCTTGTCTGAAATAGTATAGGGTCTCCTGCTTGAGCAGGGGGTTGGATTAGAAAACCTCCAAGATCCTTTCCAACTCTGTTATTCTGTATTAGGAAATTAGACTTCAGTTTTAGACTTATGGTCAAGTACATCTGCCCATTACAGGTTACTGAATGGTACTCAGGTTACTGAATGGTACTCAGTAGGCTTATATTTCAGCAGATCAGCATCTCATCTTGACCGCTAAACAATTCCTTTTAAAAATGCAAAACTATGAAAGAGAGCTCACAAAATCATATTTTTAGCACTTTGCTATACCTGAATGTCTATAAAATAGCAAAGAGATGTAAACTTTAAACCAGATGCTGTACTTTGTTTCTCAATTCTTTTTCAATTACCTGTCTTGTTGCGTTGTTCAAGAGAAAGATTTGCGTGAATTCAAATCCTTAATTATAGGACAATATTCTTCAAGGTGTCTTCTACTATGTTAAATTTCTATGCTATTAAAATTTAATAAGAACTATAGTCCAGCAGAGGAAGGCATCCGGATGAAGAAAGGTGCTTAAGAAGTTTTTCTATCTTATTCCCTACTTGTATATGTAGCTCCGAGTAACAATGAATATGGGAGAATGTAAGATCTTCTACAACAGGGATCCCCAACCCCCGATCTGTGGACCAGCACCGGGCCAGAAACCGGGCCTTGCAAACAAGTGAAGCTCCATCTGTGAATGCAGGCAGCATGTGAAACCATGCCCCTCCGGTCCATGGAAAAAACCTCTCCAGGGTCCCAGTCCCTGATGGCCAAAGAGTAGAGTTGCCAGGTGTCCACTATTTGAGTGGACAGTCCACTTTTTTCACATTATGTTCACTATTTTTTTTCACAAAATAGTGGACAATTTTTTTATTCAAAAGCTTTATGATGAAATGGTACGTAATCTAAAGCTGTACAGTCTACTTTTTTTACTACTTAACACCCCCCCCCCCGCTTGTCCGCTATTTTTTGGAAGCAGACCTGGCAACCCTACCAAAAAGTTGGGGCTGCTGTTCTATAAACATCTCTGACTAAGAGACACAGAAATAGCAGAGATCTATGTATGTGGTGATGGTTTTTTATCCTAGGTTATATTTGGCACCTGGAGTGAGAAAGAGGGGGAGAGGGGGAGAGGGAGAGAGAGAGAACAAAGCCTATAAACCGAAGATCAATGGTATGCTTCAAGCTAAATAAACAAAGGTGTGGACATTTTGTTATCATTGCAACATCCAGGAATCTCAGGTAGCATGACCAATGGTAAAAGGATGCCAAGAGCTGCAGTTTCAACATCTGGAAGGCCACAGGTTTGCAGCTTGCTTTTATGCATGCATTCAGTGCTTAGCAGTCTTAACAAAAGTAGGTCATAGTCCATCATCTTACTAATGCCAAACCACTTCTTTGTTTTTGTGCCCATAATTAAAGCAGCCAAGCTGTGACAGAGAGTGACTTTTGGACTGACTCATCAATAGGCGTGGCAGTTTTTGTGGGAAGATGTAGGGTTGGTCTTAACTTGAAATCTTTCGCTCTTACTAACCTGTAGAAGAAATGACACATTGTACTAAACCATAATTTAGTTAACCCCTTCTGTGATCCCAATTGTGGCTTATTTAATCTGGTTTAGTAGAATGTTTGAGCCCAATCATAGTTTTCTGTGTACTGGGAATTGTGTGCATTGGGAGGAATTTGGTCATGCAGGATTTCTGAAGCAGAAGTGATGGTGTTTAAGCATCCATAAAAAATTGACTTGAAATTCTTGTGTCCGGCTTCTGGCAATCTCTTAATTCACAAAAAAAAGCAAACAAAGGAACTCAACTGCTTTGTATCACTCATTTGCATTTTAGAAACCTCAAGCACCTGAGGAATTAATTCTATAGGCTAAGGACAATCACCAGATTGTTATGGAGGAAAATTACCAGGTTGTGGTCTCTCAACTGGAAGCAGCTCAGATTACAGGGAGTAAATTCCTGAGCACTGAATCACAGCAGAGTTCCTTTAGCCCTTGGGGCCCCATCATTAATCTCACCTCACCTGCTTGCTCAGCTATTTCATGACATATCCACTCAAACCAGAGAATCCTGAGGAAAATGTTTTAAAGTCTAAAGGGGAATTTGGATAGCATTTTTTAAATATTAAATACTTGATTTGTGGTTTACAGGTGTAGCATGAAACTCACTTATAGTGGGCTACTTAGTACTAAAAACAGCTAAATTCACTATATCTAAATATTCTTTCTTATTCCAAGTCTTCTCACTGAACTATCAGACTATCAGCACCTTGCTGATAAAACAAAAATCCAGCATTCACCTGTCTGGACCATACAGTTTAGAGGTTCTCATTGAAGGAAAAGATTTTCATGGTTGTTTGCAGTTATGTTCAAGGCCCATGGGAACCAATTGGCAGTCTGTGTTGTACCACTAAATCCTTTCAGAAAGGGTTCAGATACATGATCCAGTTGCCACAGATGCCGCTCTGGAGATTACCTCAAAATACTGCAACTGCAAATATTTTTGTAAAGCTCATCCAAGGTCTTGTCTGCCAACTCTGTCCAGCTGGCTACTGGCCCATATTTATGGAAAAGTTATTTTTGTTCATCATAAACAAGTTTACAAGCTTCAGTTCCTGGAGCTCCAAATATAATCTTCCCATGCGGTCACAGTCATCCTGAAACCAGGTACTGTTATGCAATCCCAGTTGAAATGGGAAGATGCAAAATTCAATCCCATCTGTTTTAAGGGCCTGTGTAGGAATTCCACTTCTTGGAAACAAATGTAGGTTGATTTCTAAACTGACCTTTTAGAAAAACTGATTCCATATGTTCTACTTTAAGCATTAAACTAATCAACTTATACATGAGCCTGAAATGTTCTTTTATATGTGCTTCTGAGATTAAAACATTTTGCTGTGGATTTGCAATTCTATCAATACAAAACTGCGTTAATGTGCAGTTCCAATTTGAATTGCATTTTATTACCTTATATTTTAGTGCTTTTTTAATAGCACGTGATCTTGTCTATGATAAAGCTTACAAACTGATAATTTCCCCTCCCACATCCTGCTTTCTTATAACCCTGCATGGTGGTTGGTTTTTAGCAAAATTAACTACAGGATTTTTTTTTTTTAAAAAAAAGATCTTTATTAATCAAAATATTAATTACCATGAATGGTAAACAAAAGCCTGGGGTTTATTTTTGCCCTCTTCAAGGCAAAAGAAAAATGTAAGATACATACATGTAACATAACATAACAAAGTACCATAACAATGAACAATCTACAGCTAGCTTTAAGAAACTAGCACTTCAGGAACACATCCTAACATTTTATGCTCCAAACTGTACAGCTAGATTGCACACACACATTCCTCATAACACATTAACTCTGGTACAATGGGAACTGCTTCAAAATTTGTGCAAACAAAGCAGCAGTTCTTGAACAAAAGAAAAAGTGGTATGAAATTCCACAGAATCACTTGATTTTTGTTTTAAGAAAAAAAAGACCTTACAAAAACACTTCAATATAAGGATCATAGAGTACAGTACAGGTTTCACTGCTCCTTTTTAGGTATGAAATCATCCAAGCTGAATAACGAGGCAAAAAACGTGTGTTTTATGAATATCACAACATTATTCCTCATCACTGTCCCAACAAGTTAACAGTAGCAGTCACTAGGAAAACCATCAGCAAGTTTGAGATGACATCTAAAAAAAAAAATGCCAATCATCTTCCCCCTCCGGATCACGAGCTCCACCCACACTTTAAAAAAAAAACAAAACACCGCAGCCACAAACACACACTCACATATACTGCTAAGGCAACATGAACAGGAAATCCCCTGCACTCCTGGACCCAGAGTAATGCAAATGCTCATCATATGAGAGATGTGTCATACTAGTATGACTGGTCCGTTTTTTCCCCTCTCCTTCCTGCTCTCGCCATGGATGCTTTGGCAAGACTAATCAGGTTTAGAGAGTATTTTCTGGCACAAAGAAACAGGCCACTCGATCATCCTTAATTACTAGATAAGAAAAAAAAAGGGATGGCCCTGAGCAAAAAAGAATGCTGGGTAGTCCCCCCCCCCCCCAATATCTAAGGAGTGGAGCTGACAAAAGCTGCTTTTCTTCAAAAGCTCTCAGCAGGCCCGTTTTAACCCTGGAGGGAACAGCCCCAGCTGCCTAAGAAAGCCTCATTCAGAAAAGAAGGGGGGGGGGAAAGAGAATCCTCAGCCTAGAACTGGCAATTTAATGAACGAAAAGCGAGATCGCAAATAAACGCCTCGTTTTTTTTTCCCCTCGAACTAGCACCAAAAAGTAAAAAGTGCACGCAGCAGATAGTGGTTGCTTTTCCACCCAGATCAGGATTTGAAAGGCCCGACTGGTTTCGTAAGTCTTTCCCCTTTCATTGGAAACGACTTCATTTGCCCCCCCGCCCCATCCCCGCCAACCAACCCCAAGTTCTCAGCCTCTCTTCTCTTCCAGGAACCGTGACGTTCGCGCTGGCGTGACCAGTTCCTCTTTTCGGCGCGCAGCCCCCGCGTCCCAGTTCCAGGGAGCGCCCTCCGCGGCCAGCCGTCGCTCGGCCTTTGTCTGGCCGCCGCCTTCCCGAGTCACCAGAGCGTCTCTCGCCTAAACTCGCAGGGGGAGGGGGGGCAGGGGGGAAGGTCTCGCTCGGGCTCCCCGCGCCACCGTCAGCCTCCCGCCGTCCTAACCGCCAAAGTCCCGCCACCGAGGAGACAGGCGGCATTGAGCTCCTCTGCCCAGAGAGGGGCTTCCGCAGGCTCCGCTTCTCCGCAGGGAGAAGTTTGCAGCTACGAGTCCCTGGCGGGGGCGCTTTAGAAGGCTACCACGGCCCTCACCATTATGCTCAGCACGCCGTCGCCTTGCCTGCAGTTCGCTTTGGGCTCCTCGGCGCCTTTGGCCGGCGGAGGCTGGAGGATCAAGCTAGAGAACCGGTCCTGCAGGATTCGGGCCAAGCTCGGAAAGGGCCCTTCTTGCCGCTGGGGCTGCCGCTCGCCTTCCTCCTCCTCCGCCAATTTCGCCTTCTTGCTAGGCACCAGGCCGGCTTCGGCGGCGCCGATCTTGCCTAGGCTGCTGCTGCGGCGCTTGCGGCTCGGCTTCCTGCTGACGGGCGGAGGCCCCGAGGCGCCCCGGCTCCAAGCCGTCTGGGTCAAGGAATGCGCGGGCAAGCTGCTGCTGCCGGGCTCCTCCTGGGTTTCCATAGGTTCCGGATCCAGGCTGCCGCAGGGCTGTGGCGTGGGTGGAGGCGCCTCCTGTTGGGCTGGGGGGAACAGGATTGCCGGAGGACCCTCCAGATGCTGCGGGCTGGGCGCCGTTCCTTGTAGGTCCAGGTGCGGCTGCGGCCCAGGGAAATTTTCCACACTTCCTCCGCCCATCTCGTCCTCTTCCTCTAGCTTGGCGGAGAGGTAGAGGTCGCGGGCGTTCCTCATCACGAGGGAGAGCTGGAGGCTGCGATGGAGTCGGAGGCCGCCGCGTTGCATGCGCGAGTGATACATCTTCCACACCGACATCGTCATAATACGCTGCGCTTCTTTCTGCACCTCCATGTTGGCTTCCCTCTACGACCCTCGGAAGCTCTCCTTAAGAGTCGGAAGACAAACACCTGGGCTTCCACCCCCCTCCAAAAGCGAAAGTGGCGCGCCTCCGGCTGTTTCGTCCCAGCAGACACCTCCCCGACAGCCCGCCGCCGAGACGTCCGTTCCGACTAAGCGGGGCCGCGCCCAACGCGCTGCTTTTTATACGCCCGGTGATCTCAGCGCGCCCGGGCCGCCTCCGCCCACTCTGCGAGCCGCATCCGGCCTTGTACTGCGCGCCACTGGCCGCCCTTCCCGAAAGGGGGAAGGGCAGGCGGAAATGTCAGGGCGGGAGAAGAAAAGAGCAAATGGTGGTGTCGCCTGGAGACGAGGCTCGCGGACGGCGCCTTCGCCTGCGAAGCAAAGGACTGGAAGTTGGGCTCAACGCTGAAGCGGCGTCCGTCGGTTCAGCGAAAATGGGCAGCTGGGAAATACTAGATAGTGCTAGGCTGGGTGAGCGGAGTGCGCAAGCAGTGGCTAGCTGCAGATTCCTTAGCTAATTGGTTTCAGAAAAAAAATGCGTTCGTTTCCTTGGGAATGGAATACATTTTACGAATTCTGAATGAGATCCGATTGAGTGCAAGATTTACTCTGGGAAATGACGGAGGTTGTTGAACTCTCTATCAACCTCAGACATCATGTGCAACGTGAAGAATTTGGGAAGCTGTAGTTCACTGCCTGAAGGCCACGTGCTCCCACTCACTGGGAAATAGTTAAATCAATGAGATTCGCTTCCATGCACGTTTAAGGCTGGGGAAGGCTTACGCACACTGTTCTTGTTAGATTCAGTGATTGGCAACTGACAAAGTGCAGCTGAGGCAGAGCAGCAAATAATATTCGTTCTAAATAGAACCCAAACACAGCCAGTTATTTTGGCATAAAAGACAATCCATGTTATGACTTGATTCTGGCGTGTTGTAAAATGCAATGATGGCATTTTCAATAAAGCATGGATTAGGAAGATTTGTGAACAGATGTTCTTACTAAGTCAGGCCTAAATTCCGACCTACTTGAAATAAGAGGGACATAAAACTTGTAACTATTCAGAAGCTCATTATGGAAACAAGTTATCACTAACATGATACATTGTTATAAATTTAAAACTATTCAAACTAGCAGATCTGATCTGCAAAAATCCAATTGTTCAGTAGATATCAGAGATACCAATTTTTTTTAACTCATTTCCATTTGGTGGTTTTTCCCCCTAGCCCTAATATATCCAAACTGGTTGCACCAGTACAGCTAGTGTGGTTTCTTAGTACAATTCTGGCTATAGCCTTTAAAATAATATACATTGGTACCTCAACAGAACCTATAGAGTACAGCAAAAGGCAAAAGATTGACTTACTGAGTTTTAATTTAATTTACAGAAGTGTTTAAAACTTTGTTACATCAAATACAGAAGTTTTGCACTGTGGTTGCATGCTGGTACTTGCAATCTTCATATTTCACATGCTGATTAAACCTCCAGACTGTAGCCATGACAAATATGTTGAATAGGAAGGGTATTCAATTTTTTGTACTATCAGCAAAGTTAAAAGAAACTAGAATAAAAAATTCTGTAATTTCAGGATTAAAGCAATGCAAATGCTTTTTAAAAAATTACACTGTGGGCAATTGTGAGAAAACCAGTGTAAGAAATGTTAGGCTTGCCCTTAAGATACAGTATTTTGAACTCCAGATCTTGTTCTAACTAAACCATAACAATTGTTTTGCTAATTATAAGGAAAGATTAGCTCTGCTCTTTTCTCTATTATATTATATTATACTATATATTATATATTATATGTATTTTAAGAATCCATGATTATTTTGCTCTTCTGGGCACTAATGTTTAAAAACTGAGTGTTTATGTTTGCAGTCTTAATAGTTTGCAGGCAAAAAGGTTTCAAACAAGATTTGAAGTAAGAGTAAGATGTTGTCCTTGAGGTTATTGATGTGGCCTTTTTGCTCTAGAATGCCCAGTTAGGGGGGAAAAAAACATTTCAGGCCCATACGCTTTCCCCAATAGCAGCACTTGAAAGAAAGGGATTCTTTTCTCCTTAGCTGCATGTTGATTTCAGTTGTTTCTCCCCTACAGCTGCTCCTGTCACTCAAAGTTTTGAAATCCTGTTCTCATCAACCAAACCTGACTTGGGAGTGTTATTCAACCTGGCAGTTCTGGCCAAAGTGGCCCCAGCATTTCATAATTTCCAGTGCAGCCAAACAGAGGCCAGTTCAGGTAAAGCCTTCAATGGAGCTTCACCTCAATTTGTATCCTTATATTTTCTCACATTCACCTGCATTTGTGGCTGCCTGCTTCTTAATTTTTACCTATTTTTTTACTTATTTTTTTCTTAAATTTTACTACAGACAGGGGGTTTTTTTGGGGGTGGGGGGAATACTCCCATATTCACGCAAATCTTTTACTGGTCGGGGAAACAGATCGCCTTTCAACCAGACGCCCGATCAGCACAACGGAAGGCCCGCGCTCGACCCTAGTTTCCTATTCATTTTACAGCAGGGGTAGTCAACCTTGGCTCTTTTATGACTCGTGGACTTCAACTCCCAGAATTCCTGAGCCAGCTTAGCTGGCTCAGGAATTCTGGGAGTTGAAGTCCACGAGTCATAAAAGAGCCAAGGTTGACTACCCCTGTTTTACAGTATTCCCAGAGCTGGCCTCCTCCCTCTATTTAGGTCTCGCCTCCGTGGTTACTGCATGTATTATTGGAGCCTGACGACAAGGCAGGGGGAGGAGCCGGGGCCAAAGCGCTTACGTTTGTAGTAGCAGCCCCGCTTCCTGTGGCCATATATGGGTAACGCGACGAAAGGCTCAACGGAGCTTGGCCCGGAAGTGGCGCCCTCGGTAGACGGAACAGTCGGTTAGACAGATGCATATTGCCTCACGCCCCATTGTGTTATGATATACGAAACCACCGCATACAGGAGGACCTAGGACGGGGAACTCTGATGGAAATGTTGAGTGCAGGGTATGAGAAGAAAAACATTCGTTAAAGAGAAGCATTTAAGGTTCATACCTAGAGATACCCTCCAAAGCAAACCTAAGCCATTTATTTTCCTCTTTTAATCTTCCGAATTCCTGCCGCCTTTCCAATACTGTAATTTCATCTGATTATACTCGGGTGTGGCTGTGTAAATCCGTATCACAAAACCCCGACGCGGTCTAAATGTATTACTTCCCTGTTTCACCGAGGCTCAAGTACACCAGGAAGTATTTTACACCGAAATGCATATGGTACAGTTTGCATGCAAGTCACATTTTTGTCTTGATCCAGAAACGGAGGTCAGATAAAATCCTGTATTCGGCTGACATAACTCCGTTGCAAGCTTTGAAGTTTTATTAAATTTATACGCCGTCCTTCTCGCTACTAGAGCGATTCGGGGCGGCTTAAAAATATATAAAAAACAACACGAAAAATTCGATGAGGGAAAAGTGATCGTTGTACGCAGACGTCCCTGTACGAAACTATGATCTGATGGGACTACTCCGGAGTTTTCAGACGCGTAAACTGGATTTTATCGACTATGCAGCAATGTTATTATATTGGGATCAGGGCTTGCCCAAAATTGCTGGGGTGAAAAGAGCAAGAAAATGTTTATACGTTTTCAATTTCTGAAAATGTAAATATTAATGAACCTGTTTCCAATGTATCTGAGATAAAACAAAATCTGGAACAAATAATTAAGACAACTGAACAGATTTGGGCTTAAAGGGCCTTTGGCACCAATGTAAGAAATCAGCAATTTCTGGTTTTAGCCAGAGCGGTTTCTCGTCTGGCAAGGATCTGCCTTTCCGCCTTATTGCGTCATCTCCAAACTCAGCCCACGAGGTCTTTATACTCTCCCTCTTGGCTCCCTCCCAAGACACAAGGGTTCGCCATGCCAACTATTTTAGACGATGGTAAAATTTAAAAAATACGACGCAGCGTATCTTCTACACTCCCTGATTCTGTGTTAAAATGCGGTCTTTTCTTTTTGCACGTAATTAACCAAAAAGAACGAGAGAATCACTCTCAAGTTATAGAACAATAAAACATTACTTAAAAACACAACAGTCCGCCCTGAAGCCATTTCAGACATTTTGCGGGGAGATTAAGGGGCTATTATCCGAGAAGCGTGGGCGTGGAAAACCTGAAAATCTCAAACCAGAGGCGGCTAAAGAATGCATCGGAACCCGGCAAAGAAGAAGGGGGCGCTTGTGCAAGTAAAGCCGCGAAGATTCAGGCCAGCTCTTCCTTCTTTTAAGAAATTTGGGAATGCAAGAAAGGAAACTAGAAATACCCTTCCCCGCTCAAAACAACAACAAAACCAACAACCAGGACTATACCGAAACTAGGAAATTCCAGGGGATATTTCTTATTTCTTCAACCCGCCTACTAACTTCTCTTCCCTATTTTCGCTCCTCCCTAGAAAAGGCGTGTCCCCTTTCCGTATTAAAAAGAAAAAAAAAAAGAGAAAAGAAAAGAAAAAAACCCAAGGGAAATACAGGGTTGTGAAAGAGGGACCCGTAATAAACATGGCTGCCTTGATGGCTTCAGTTCAGTGAGAGGGGAAAAAAGAGGGAGCATTTTCCTCCATAGTTGTACGGTTTCGCCCATACACGTTTCTATTGGTCGGCTGGACGTCTGAAGGCGACTTGAAGGGTCAAGGATGTCTCTGCAGGACCCGTTCTTCGCGGTGAAAGGGTGAGTGGCAGTCCCCGGTGGGGGGGGAAATACTTTGAAAACAAAGAAAAAAAAACCCTTCTCTCTGGAAAAAGCGACGAAAAGAGCCGGTTGAAAACCACGCGGGGTCGAGAGTGTGGAAAGATCGGGGAATCCGAGAATCTCAAGGCAGAGATGGCCAGTTTAGAAATTTCCCCACCTCTGCTGGGAAATCCCGTTCAACTAGTAAGACAACCGCCGGAACTTCTTAGAAAGAACCTTCCCCGTGAATCAAAGGAGCTGCCGCGTTGATGTGGGCTTGAAACAGAAAGCTAAACTTTCAGAAGTAGCGGCCCTCGCGGGCTGTTCCGAAATGCCCCTATTTGGAAAGCAGAAGTAAACAAAAATGTTGGTGGACGGAATCTAAGAGCGCAAGTTTCTCTAAATGCAGAAACGTGGTCTGGGGTAAAGATCGGTCGATTGTGAATTTTTGTGCGGTACAATATAGGCAACGAGGAGAGTTACTTTGTACAAATCGGAAGTTTCGTTATTTGGTTCCTCGCTATTTCAGACCGTAGCAGCCGTTTGGATTTAGTGAAGCTAAAGATCTGCTTAGATCCGTATTTTAATTTATTAACAGAGACGTCTGAACGCACGCGGTCGGAATAAATCTATGTTGTTGTTGTTAATTGCGAAGTCGTGTCCGACCCATCGCGACCCCATGGACAACGTTCCTCCAGGTCTTCCTGTCCTCTACCATCTTCTGGAGTCCATTTAAGTTCACGCCTACTGCTTCAGTGACTCTATCCAGCCATATCATTCTCTGTCGTCCCCTTCTTCTATTGCCCTCAATCTTTCCCAGCATTAGGCCCTTCTCCAGTGAGTCCTTCCTTCTCATTAGGTGGCCAAAGATGAACTCAAAGTTGAAGTCCTAGACCGGAAGATTTCTCGTCAGCCCCAACTAGAGAAGATCCTGACTGGCCAAGCTTGCGGAACCCAAGCTTTCGGAACGTTAGGTTCCCTGAGCGTCCTCAGCAGAAGAGGTCGTGGTATCAAGTTTCCGGAGTTAAGAAACAGCGAGTCGGAAAGAATACCAGGTTGAAAGTGTAGCATACATTGCAACTGGGAAAACCACGGCCTTGATTATACGCACATTTGTTGGCAGGGTGATGTCTCTGCTCTTTAGTATGCTGTCTAGATTTGCCATAGCTTTCCTCCCCAGGAGCAAGCGTCTTTTAATTTCTTGGCTGCAGTCCCCACCTGAGGTGATCTTGGAGCCCAGGAAAATAAAATCTATAAATACTCTATATTCGTTTTGTGTTAACGATCTGCTAAAGGCTAAAATTGGCTGTGGGCTGCCATGGTGCAGGAATGCCATTTAGTTCTGTTTTCTCTCACACATAAATGGGAAGGGGATGGTCGTTTTTCGCTCTCCTTTCAGATCTAGATTATGACTCAGTATATATATCTCCATTTTTATATCATTCAACTAGATCTTTTTCGTTTATGGTCGTGTTTTCTTAGGACCTCCGGGCAAAGAAAGGGCACCTTCTTCTAGTGCAACTGCCTTGATCTCTTACAAGTATCAGTTGATCCAAATAAATTGAACACCGACATATACTGCTGTTTCTTTGAAGAGCTCCTGTACCTGTTCTGCTATAGGAAGTTTGCTTATGCTGAAATGCCTGCCCTGCTGCAGAGATGTAGCAGTTACCTCAATGGAACAAAATCTGTCTTGGGTGACATGCAATCAGACAGAGAAGAACTGCGTTCACGATGCATTTTGCCTACATACGACCTGTCGATCAAGTCGTCCTACCAAAAGTTCATTTCCTAGACTTGTCACCAGCAGTGCAAAACCAAAGGCATTGTAACATACCCTGCCAGGTCACCTTAGAACAGGGGTAGGCAACCTTGGCTTTTTTATGACTTGTGGACTTCAACTCCCAGAATTCCTGAGCCAGCCTCGTGGACTTCAACTCCCAGAATTCCTGAGCCAGCATGGCTGGCTCAGGAATTCTGGGAGTTGAAGTCTACGAGGCTGGCTCAGGAATTCTGGGAGTTGAAGTCCATGAGTCATAAAAGAGCCAAGGTTGCCTACCCGTGCTTAGGAGGCTATGGGGTTGCAAACTTGAAGAGGGGAAACAGCTCCTTCTCCTGGTCTGGGTGCCTTGTGTTGTTTCCTCCATCCCTTACAGCTATGTTTCCTTTGGCTCTCCAGAGAGGTTCAGAAAGCAGTGAATACAGCACGGGGCCTTTATCAACGCCGGGGCCAGCTGCTCCAGGAGACCCAAGTTGTGAACAAGGAAGAGCTGAACTGGACTACAAATGAATTACGCAACACCTTGCGAAGCATTGAGTGGGACTTGGAGGATTTGGAAGAAACCATTTATATCCTTTTGAGCTGAGATTGACATTAGTGTGAGATACCTCTCTCAGTGATGTTATTATATCCTCTTTTTAAAAAAAAAACCAAACAAACAAACAAACATACACTCTGCTTCTAAGACAGCCCTAGCAGCATTTTGCTCCTGCACTGCTGCTCTAAATCTGTTTCCTCAGCCTGATAGGGGAGCAAACAAGAGAGGCTGAATTTCTGGTGACTGAGCATCAAAGTCAGACCCAGGTATTTTAATCCAGTCCTGTCTAGTTTTTAAACTCACAACCTCCAAGTCCTTTGCACTTAACCCATAATCACGCATTGTGGAATCAAACCCACACAAGTTTGCCATTGCGCCGTCTGAGGTTGCAGCGCGACGTTCTTTTGTCACAGAGATGCGGGAGTCGGTCAAGGTGAGGCTTCCTGAAGTGTATACCTTATTGTGAATCGGGGGATGGCAGGATGTGATGAGTAAAAATTTTTTTTAATAGTTGCTATTGAAAAGCTACCTTGAGTGTAAATTCTCAATTTTTGATTGATTCTGAGCAAAATTAGATGTTATATAAAATTCCTTTTCTACCAAAGAGGTTGAATTATACAAATGGGAAAGGCCACAAATTCTGGATATTATCATGCCTCTTGGGAGCCTTACGCTTCTTTATAGATTTGGTAAGGTGAAAATTATGGTACGTATCATGTCACTGCATACGTGATGCAAGTATGTGATTTGCCTAAGTTATGTTACAATATCAGTGTAAATATGCAAGATTGTGTCCCATGTGAAATGGCCTCATGACGTATGTCATTGTTGGCCACCACCATCCCTTTCCCCCTCTATAGATACCCATGAATTTACAGTATATCACTTTAGCTTTTATGTCTGCACATTCAAGTGGCCTGTAGCATTGGGGATCTCTCTTACTCCATTTATATTTACTGTACCCTACACATAGTCCTTGACTTACAACAGGTTGCTTAGCAACTGATTGAAGTTCTGATAGACCTACTTGGTAGATACTTATGGCCTGGATTTGAAATTTTGATGGTTTGGGGGGGGGCGCTCACAGTCACATGACTGCACGTTTGTTGCTTGGCAGCCACGCCACATTTACAGCCATTTGCCACTTCCGGTAGCCATATGATTGTTTTATAATGTTTTTTGCCAAAAACTGGCAATTATTCCCAGTTTTCAGCAAAACCGCACCTATAGCAAATATTTATTTAACAACTGTGGTTATTTGTTTAACAACTGCCACAAAAAGGATTATAACCCCCCTTTTTTTACAACCATCATGAGTTACAACCATTATGAGCAGACTCCATTACAATAATAACCTGAGGACTACCTTTAGGTAGTTACAAGTGGTCACCAGAGGAATCTATTTAACGGAGGCCCTGTGGAAGAAAAAAAAACCATTCTACTGATACACTCTTAAGAGGACACAGTTTTTATTGCTTCTGTTTGTTTTCTGTAGGAAATGCAGGATCATATGTCTGACCCAGCAGCCCAGTCCTTTATGGAGAGGAACAACATGGAGGTATGGTCTTCTGCTCCCCTACTTTAACAGTTTGTTTGGAATTTCCTTAGGGATGGAAGAATCATAATATGACAATGGCTATTGTAGCCTCTTTGCTTGCTCAACTTCTTTGCAACAAAGAATTTTCTAACCCAAAGATCTCCAGGTAGGTTTTTGCTTGGCTAAATACTCTGGTTTCTTCTTATCTTTTCCCCTGCAACATAACTTATGCATTCTTTCTCTAGAAACATGGCACTGTTTAATCACGGGTCCGACTTATTGCATTAGTTTCCCATGTTTTGAAACCACTGTGAAATCAGTTTGTTTTTATAAAGAGATTGAAAAGTCAGAAGTGATGTATCCCACAATGGGTTTGGGTGTGCGGAGCCTCAGGATCTGAGGTTTTGTCATCTCTGGTTGTGGATGAGGTTGCACTTCCTCGTTCAGATCCAGTTTGTAACTTGGGGGTCCTCTCGGACTCGTGTCTCCTGCTTGAAGAGCAGGGGGTGGGTGAGAGAGAGTTTTTGCACAACCTCGGTTTGTGCACCAGCTACAATCTTTCCTGGGTGTTGACTCCCTGTGATCCATTACCCAAACCCTGATCATCTCTCCTCTGCACTATTGCGATGGGCTCCACATGGGTCTACCCTTGACATCCATTTGGAAGCTTCAACTGGTGCAAAGTGCAGCAGCGAGGAAAGTCTCTGGAGCCCCTAGGGCGGCTCATATTACATCTCTGCTCCACAAACTGCACTGGCCACTGGTCTGCTTCCAAGCGCAGTTCAAGGTGCTGTTTATGACCTTTAAAGCCCTTAATGGCCTTGGTCCAGGCTACGGAATGAACTGTCTCATCCCGCTAAGATTAGCCCGTCCTACTTGGGCTGACAGAGAGGGCCTTCTGCGGATCCCATCGGTCAAAGAACTCCAGCTGTCAGAATCCAGAAGAGCCTTCTCTGCTGCATAACCTGCCCTTTGGGGAAGATCTGGCCCCATCCTCCTCTCTTTCCTAAGACCCTAAAAGACCTGGCTCTGCAAATTGGCCTGGGGACTCAACGGGGGAGTTCTGCTCTGGAGGTGGCTGCTAGATTGATAGCAGATGCCACCTTCCCCCCCTCCCCCACTCGTCCATCTTTTTAAACTAATCATACTAATGTATTTTATTTGTTTTCTTTTTCTTTGTTTCTTTGTTCTATTTTACTTTTACCTTGCTGAAACTTCCTTTTTATTTGTTTGTTTTTCATTGCTGTGAGCCACCTAGAGTAGGCCACATGGCAAGATAAACAGCAAGTAAACGTAACAATAATAATGTGCCAGTTGAAAAGGAAGCCCTTAATATTAATATTATACTGATTATAAATGGAAGGTTTATATTGCGAGACTAGCACAACAGTCTTGAAAGGCCATGAATAACTGCATTAAATAAGTGTTAAAAGCCAAGGATTTTATTACCTTTAGCTTATTTTTAATTCGGCAAATGTTCTTTTCTACAGAAGTAGAACTAGTGAGTTAATTCTTCCACTCCATTCTAATTCACCATTGTCACTTAGATGTTTCATTGTTTTTCTTGAAGCAGTTAGAATCTTGTCTTGCTCAGAGTTTTCTTTTTTCTCCTCTTTCTCTGGGGAAGCTGGCGGATGGCAGGGACCACTGTGGGCTGTTGAGTGCAGAGAAGGTGTCAGCAGCTGATTCACATATTTTAGAAGAGCAGCAGTTGCACCAGAAGGTGAGAAGATGAACACCATCCCAATCAAGCTACTAATTTTCACAAATCAGCTTCGTTTCTACAGAGACTAAAGGGGACTACTACTTTTTATACTTGCAAGGGTAAAAATATTGCAGTTTTGTAGAGGTATGAGCTCTAATATAAACATTGCTTGTTGGCCTTCAACATCCATGCCACCTTGCTTGATTGCATCTCTTGACATTATTTTTCTCTTCCTGTCAAACAACTAATAGCAAAGTTCCTTGAATGGAAGTAATGATCATTTGAAATATTTTTTAAATTGGAGTTCTGGGTTCCAACCGTTGCACACTTGTATTTTTGAAATTTGCCCCATCAATCTAAAAAAATCTGGTGTTTCAGTACCAGAATTGGCTGCTTGCCTGCTTTCTTTATTTTTCTTCCAAACTGCTGCTTTAACATAACTGAAGAAATAGCAAGAGTCCCAGTCTTGTGATTGAACTAAGAAAGGCTAGTATATGTACCCGTTTTTCAAGAGCCATTTGAAAAAGAAATTCAGTGGATGTAAGAAATGCTATGGTTCAAGCCACTGGGTGAAGTACTATTGTAAACATTAATTCCTTTCCTTTTCCCCCCCTGAATTCTCTTTACGAAGATTTTTGCCTAAAAGGAAGAAAAAATTCTTATGGTGTTGGGTGCATCACATAGTTGCAGGGCTTTTTTTCAGCGCCTTGCGCCGCCTTGGCGCAAGGCCGTGGAAAAAGGCCCGGCCGGCGTGGCCTTTATCGGGGAGGGTGTGGCCTTTATCGGGGAGGGTTTAAAATGAACGTAAGGACAAGAGATTTCCCCGCCAGGATCCCAAACTACTCCCGCACCGGTCCAAACTCAAGGCGGTGGAAAAGAGGCAGAAAAAAAGCCCTGCATAGTTGTATTTTTGACAGGATATCTCTCTGTTATTTGAGACCTCTGTAGATCTCGTTTCCCGTGGATGTTGCTGCTGTCATTTTTTTTTCCTGTAAAAAAATACTCCGATGCCTTCTTTTCTCCATGATAGTTGATCATTGAGGAGCAGGATGAACAGTTGGAGCTGGTCTCTGGCAGCATTTCTGTACTGAAGCACATGTCGGGGCGGGTTGGAGAGGAACTTGATGAACAAACTATGTGAGTCCAGGCAGCAAAGGTGGGGTGGTGTGTCTAGCAGTGCTGGAACATTTGAAACAATTCATTCAGAACTGCAGAAAGCCCATGTCTTGGTGAGTATAGATGGCAACAGAGGAGCCCTCGGTACCTACTCTTAAGCAGATCAGAGATCAGATTCTGGAATGATTGCTAATCTAGAATTAAGAATTCTTTTGAGTTCAACAATGGCTGAAGATCCAACAATATGCAATCCTGGAATCCCATAATTTAAGCAAGACCAAAAGGCAAAAGCTGTTATCCTCTCTCTTACCATCTTCTATCACCAGCAGAACATTCTACTGGTGGTTTTCAGCTTACAGTGCTGCATCTCATCTCATACACAAAAATGAGCAGATCAACTACAATTGATATTCCTGTTGCCAGTAAGGGAGTTAAAAATAATTCTTGTCTCTTATTATATTGGAGCCAAATCAGTTTGGGTACAGTTCCATCACTCAGATTCCAGATTTTGTTAGCAATAAAAAATATTCTGAAAATTCCCAGCAACAGAGCAAATTATTGTTAGCTGCTAACTTCATGCCTTGTGACCAAGTGGGAGGGGGGCAAGGTTCACAAGCTTTAAAGATGGGGCTGCTGCTTTAGAAACTACTGCCATGTGATGATGCATTTGCTGACTTTCTAGAATGCTAGAAGACTTTGCTCACGAGATGGACAGCACTCAGAGCGGCATAGATGGGGTGCTCAAAAAGATGGGCAGAGTCTCCCACATGGCCCGTGGTAAGAGGCAGGGCTTTATGATTTATTTTGACCTGTCCATTTGCATAGAATAAAAGAGCTTCCACCTCATTCCAACTCACTGGGCTTTCCTTTCCATTGTAGAATGTTTTAATGAGCTGCTGAATCTCACCCTGTCTGATATTACTAGATCCCTAATTTTCCTGTTGTTTTCTTTTTCTATTGGAAATAGACAATTTGCTGCATTCCAGATGTTTTGGATAATTAATTCCAGTCAGTGTGAACAAGGGCCAGTGAATGTGATAATATCTGGACTTGCCTAGATGTGGTTTGTTTAGTTTGTGCGCACCAAACGTTTATAGAGATACTGGCCTTCATAAATTCACAACTCTTTAAGTACACTGACAAACACTGATTGATTTGATTTATATCCTACATTTTGATCAGGAACTCAAGGTGATGGAGACAGTGTTCTTCCAATAATTCTATGAATAGTTTGGGCTGTGACTGTTCCAAGGTCAGATTTCCGCCCCCCTCTCCCTTGATTCAGCAAATGAGCCAGTGATCATAACTTGGAATCAGCATTCATTTTGAAATATTTTTTATCATCTTAGGCCTCTTGTCAAAGGAACGGCTGTAAGAAAAATGGATCACTATTTGGATTCAGGAACAGGAAGAGATAAGGGACTAGGAGAGCATAATTGCATAAACCAATGACTGTTCCACTTAGGCCAGTATTGCATTTTGGTTTGTGCTGAACATTCTCTTATTCTCAGTTCAAATCCTGAATCAGTCACAGATAGCTTTTATTTTTATTTTGTACAAATCAGGATTAAATTAATAACGACAATTAAATGGGCATGCCGTTAGATATATACACAATCTTTGAGCTTTTATCCCTCTATATCAGTGTTTCTCAACCTTGACAATTTTAAGGCATGTGGACTTCAACTCCCAGAATTCCACAGCCAGCATTGCTGGCTGTGGCATTCTGGGAGTTGAAGTCCACATGCCTTAAAATTGTCAAAGTTGAGAAACACTGCTCTATATCTACCAAAATGTCTGTCCAGTAATATCCCTGATAATCTTGCTATGATACCTGAGTTGCAGGTTAGCTCACCTGTCCCTCACTACATATGTTAATCAAGTAACCAAATTCCTTTGAATAGGGTCATTTTTGCAGTTTAATGCCAGGATAGTAGTGTTTTCTCCCCCCCCCCTTTCTGTTCAATCATGGTTGATTGTCAGAGACAATCCCTGCAGTTTTCTTAGCAAGGTTTTTCAGAAGTGGCTTGCCATTGCCTCCTTCCTATGACCAAGAGAAAGTAACAGGCCCAAGGCTGATCAACTGGTTTTATCTGAGGGGGAACCGAAACTCACAGTCTCCCAGTTTCTAACCTAATGCCTTAATCACTACTCTTCGTTTTCTTTGCTACATGCCTAATAAGCTGAAAAACTGCTAATGCCTCAAAACCCTCTTTTTCAATGGGATTGTGTTTAATACTGAATTAGGGTCAAAGAATATGCAGATATTTGCATACGTAACCTATTGACATTTGTTTGGAAGGTTCAACGTGAATGCAGCTTCCCATGTATTATAAATCCGTTTTAAGAGTACTCCCATTCCCCATTTTTGTGCTTAGATCCAAACATCAGCCCCTTGTGTCCCCGTTAGTGGATTATAATTTTCCAATTGGGTTGGCCTTCCTGCACTTAGACCATCTTTCTTTTTGTTCTTTCTCCATCAGGAAGACGTCAGTGGTGCATCATCTGCCTATTGGTCATCACTGGTGTGGTGATATTGATCCTTCTTTTTGCTCTGTGGCCAACTGACAGATGAACATAGGGAAAATGGAAACGATACCACCAACCCTTTCATGCGGAAAGCCTGAAGCCACCGTGGCTTTATGTCCTGTAAGGGGCGAGGGCTAGTGAAGACATGGGACAATGACAAGAATGTTGGATTGTAACTGGGCTTCCCTCCCTTGCATTCATACTGTTAATTATTAGGAGCTACAGGTTTGTGACAAGGGAGGATTCTGCTTGTTGGTACTTATCAACCCCATCGAGGTAGTCCAAACTAGGAAACCAAAATGATGAATGCTAATACTATTTTTATTCTAAAATTATATTAATAGACTCTTGCAAGTCTGAAAGCACTTCCCCCTTCCCACCCATTCCTCACCTTCACTTTCCAGAGAACTAGGGAGGGATAATCCTGAAGCCTTCTCAAATTATACTTGTGTTTTGGGCTCAGATTTCATTTATCAGACCATTGTCTAAACCGCAGCTCTTCTTTGTGCCTCACAAAGCTATTCTCACAGCCCATTCCTGTACTTTAGAATGGGAATTTGTGTAGTGTCTTTTCCTGCCATACTTGGGAAATAATTGGATTTGAATACCCGTGTTTCTTAAATGTGATCGTGCTGTACCCACTACAGGTCACCAACTTAGAAAAAAATAAGCAAAAGTGTTTATTTTCTGTTTTAGTCTTAAAAGATCTAATTCCTTCATACCAACTCTGAATCTGTGTAACTTATCTCTGCATGAAACGCATCTGATGAAGCACAATTGACTTATACTGTTACCTATTTTCCAGTTGAACCAATCAAGAACGGTGGAAGAATTAGACAGTATAACAGTATGTTCTGCTTGTTGAGTTGGTGAAATTACTAAGGGTTGAAGATGATCTAAAGCTATATTTCTATTTAAATGCTTAATGAAACCAAACATCAGCCCTCAATCCCCCATCCCTGTTAGCTGTTTTCTAAAAATTGGGAGACAAAAAACATTTGCCATTATGTAAATGTAGTCTACAGCACTGTGCATCAAGATGTAACTTATGGTGATACTTCTGGGCTAGGACAAAAAAATCTGACTTACCAATGTACCTGCTCTCTTTTCATCTTAAGCCTAGTAAAACATGGTGGACAGAGCATCTTAACATTGGCAAAGTGGATTTTGCCTTGAAAATAAAAAAACTGGCTATTTTCAGGGAAGTCCCAGTGACTCAGTTTACTGTGAGCAATGTCTCTATGGGATACTTTGTTGTTACAGACACGCGGCTATTCCTTATATATATATATATAATATTATAGAGCAGAGATTGGCAGACTTAACTTGTAAGATCTACTTTATCTTAAAAAAAATGAGGTTTACAAATCAACTTGGTGCAAAGAATGCTGAACCTTGGAATTTAGAGATACTTACAGGGCTATTGTAGGGAGAAAAAATGTTTCTGGTTAGGTCAAGCTTTATATGGGTGAGGGGAAAGTTTTGGCTGCTGCTATTCTGAATTCATGTTGCTGCTGAAAATATCCAAATAATTGGATCTATCTTCTGCCTATCCCCTTTTAGAAGACAATGTTAAAAAACAACTTTTTAAAAAAATAAATATTTTATACTTGTATGTAAAGCACCTGTTTTGGACTGTGTTATTGATGTGGGAAGGAATTGGCAGGATCCCTACACCCCTTAAAAGAATGAACATTGCTTGGCTTTGTCTGATATAATCAGTTTCACATTGTCTTCAGCTTTATCTACAGATGCTGGATACAAAAGTGGTAAGAAAATGTTGACGAAAACACAGCTGACTATGGAGACTTGATTTAACCATCATGGCCAATATCTGTAGATCCTCTGACGCTTTATTGTTAGACCATTCTGTAAGCTAATGTTAATATCATATGCCTCAAGTCTCCACTGCTTTTTTACTGTAAGCCACCTAGAGGTTCAGCTATTGAGTGCTTTAACATTTTAATAAATAAATATTTTGCTTAGTAGCTACTCTGCTAGACCCCAACAGTGAAGAGAAGATAACAAATTAAAGAATATTTCTATTTAATCCCTATCTCTTGCAGAAAGGGTGGGTAACCTGTCATTCCTTAACCTTAACCTGCAATGTCCCTTAGTGTTAGCTATGCAACTGGGAGATGCAGTTGGGCATTCACCGATGGGCCACATGTTGACATCCACATAGCAATACAAACTTTTCAGATAGTTGCTTCTCATAGCTAAAGGTAGGATATTTTTTTTACACAAGTGAACCAAAACATGTATACAGTAGTGGCCAAAATTGTGGAAACCTTTTGAGAAAAGTGTATTTTTGAGGTTTGATGGCTAATAACACCACTTTTTTTTGGATTATATATCAATGGAAAGACAATTTAATCAAGAATGTAATGCAGCATAATTTGTTCAATTATCTGTACTGTATTCTATAAAAAGTTATAGCCAAATAACCAGAAAAAGGAAGCACAACTTGCTTAGGTTGATATCAGATAGCTTTCCTTCATCTGATTGTAGCCAATGAGCATGAGTGTTTAGAGAGCCAATCAGGTGTCATCTTGCTTTGGCAATGAGCCAATCAGATCACAGTAAGATTCAGTTATTGATGTCATGTATTGAAGTTGAGAGGAGGACATTTGTCAGTGTGTTATGTGATCGCTATCAAGTTGGTGATTGCTATCAAGTTGGCTGGGGTTTTTTTCCTTTCATTTAGTGAGCTTGTAAAACATGATAAAATTAAAGTAATGGTGCAAAGAGTTAACTGGTTGCCCAGAAAGCGATGTAAAATAGTATTATTAAGTGAACAACGCTACAGTTATAAAGAAATTAGAAGAAAAATTGGTGGAAACTTAATCAAAGGTGGTATTTCTACTGTACACCTTTCCCAAAAGGTNTTCCCCCCCCCCCCCCCCCCCGAATTCTCTTTATGAAGATTTTTGCCTAAAAGGAAGAAAAAATTCTTATGGTGTTGGGTGCTTAACATAGTTGTATTTTTGACAGGAGATCTCTCTGTTATTTGAGACCTCTGTAGATCTCGTTTCCCGTGGATGTTGTTGCTGTCATTTTTTTTTTCCTGTAAAAAAATGCTCCGATGCCTTCTTTTCTCCATGATAGTTGATCATTGAGGAGCAGGATGAACAGTTGGAGCTGGTCTCTGGCAGCATTTCTGTACTGAAGCACATGTCGGGGCGGGTTGGAGAGGAACTTGATGAACAAACTATGTGAGTCCAGGCAGCAAAGGTGGGGTGGTGGAATCGATTGGATTTGCTTGGATCCCTTTTTCATGTGACATTGTCTAGCAGTGCTGGAACATTTGAAACAATTCATTCAGAACTGCAGAAAGCCCACGTCTTGGTGAGTATAGATGGCAACAGAGGAGCCCTCGGTACCTACTCTTAAGCCAGTGGTTCTCAACCTGTGGGTCGGGACATTTGGGGTCGATCGACCATTTCATGGGGGTTGCCAAGCAAGGCTGTCCGCCATTTTTTTTGTCCGCCATTTTTTCCCCCTTTTCCGGCGGGTGCCTTACCTCCCTTGGGCTGGGCCAGCTGGTGGTCAGCCTGCTCCGTCTCTGCCGCTTGCCAGCTACGCCTCGGCCGGTGCAGGGGGCGGAATCACGCATGCGCGGCGCTCCCGGGCAGGGAAAGTCCTCGACTTACGACCGGTTGGGTAGTCCTCGACTTACGATCGGTTTAGTCCTCGACTTACGACCGGTTTAGTCCTTGACTTACGACCGGTTGGGGTCGCGGCATTAAAAAGGTTGAGAACCACTGTCTTAAGCAGATCAGAGATCAGATTCTGGAATGATTGCTAATCTAGATTTAAGAATTCTTTTGAGTTCAACAATGGCTGAAGGTCCAACAATATGCAATCCTGGAATCCCATAATGTAAGCAAGACCAAAAGGCAAAAGCTGTTATCCTCTCTCTTACCATCTTCTATCACCAGCAGAACATTCTACTGGTGGTTTTCAGCTTACAGTCCTGCATCTCATCTCATACACAAAAATGAGCAGATCAACTACGATTGATATTCCTATTGCCAGTAAGGGAGTTAAAAAATAATTCTTGTCTCTTATTATATTGGAGATATTGGAGCCAAATCAGTTTGGGTACAGTTCCATCACTTAGATCCCAGATTTTGTTAGCAATAAAAAATATTCTGAAAATTCCCAGAGCAAATTATTGTTAGCTGCGAATTTCATGCCTTGTGACCAAGTGGGAGGGGGGGCAAGGTTCACAAGCTTTAAAGATGGGGCTGCTGCTTTAGAAACTACTGCCATGTGATGATGCATTTGCTGACTTTCTAGAATGCTAGAAGACTTTGCTCACGAGATGGACAGCACTCAGAGCGGCATAGATGGGGTGCTCAAAAAGATGGGCAGAGTCTCCCACATGGCCCGTGGTAAGAGGCAGGGCTTTATGGTTTATTTTGATCTGTCCATTTGCATAGAATAAAAGAGCTTCCACCTCATTCCAACTCACTGGGCTTTCCTTTCCATTGTAGAATGTTTTAATGAGCTGCTGAATCTCACCCTGTCTGGTATTACTAGATCCCCAGTTTTCCTGTTGTTTTCCTTTTCTATTGGAAATAGACAATTTGCTGCATTCCAGATGTTTTGGATAATTAATTCCAGTCAGTGTGAACAAGGGCCAGTGAATGTGATAATATCTGGACTTGCCTAGATGTGGTTTGTTTAGTTTGAGCGCACCAAAAGTTTATAGAGATACTGGCCTTCATAAATTCACAACTCTTTAAGTACACTGACAAACACTGATTGATTTGATTTATATCCTACATTTTGATCAGGAACTCAAGGTGATGGAGACAGTGTTCTTCCAATAATTCTATGAATAGTTTGGGCTGTGACTGTTCCAAGGTCAGATTTCCGCCCCCCTCTCCCTTGATTCAGCAAATGAGCCAGTGATCATAACCTGGAATCAGCATTCATTTTGAAATATTTTTTATCATCTTAGGCCTCTTGTCAAAGGAACGGCTGTAAGAAAAATGGATCACTATTTGGATTCAGGAACAGGAAGAGATAAGGGACTAGGAGAGCATAATTGCATAAACCAATGACTGTTCCACTTAGGCCAGTATTGCATTTTGGTTTGTGCTGAACATTCTCTTATTCTCAGTTCAAATCCTGAATCAGTCACAGATAGCTTTTATTTATTTTTATTTTGTACAAATCAGGACTAAATTAATAATGGCAATTAAATGGGCATGCCTTTAGATATATACACAACCTTTGAGCTTTTATCCCTCTATATCTACCAAAATGTCTGTCCAGTAATATCCCTGATAATCTTGCTATGATACCCGAGTTGCAGGTTAGCTCACCTGTCCCTCACTACATATGTTAATCAAGTAACCAAATTCCTTTGAATAGGATCATTTTTGCAGTTTAATGCCAGGATAGTAGTGTTTTCTCCCCCCCCTTTCTGTTCAATCATGGTTGATTGTCAGAGACAATCCCTGCAGTTTTCTTAGCAAGGTTTTTCAGAAGTGGCTTGCCATTGTCTCCTTCCTATGACCAAGAGAAAGTAACAGGCCCAAGGCTGATTAACTGGTTTTATCTGAGGGGGAACCGAAACTCACAGTCTCCCAGTTTCTAACCTAATGCCTTAATCACTACTCTTCGTTTCCTTTGCTGCATGCCTAATAACAAGCTGAAAAACTGCTAATGCCTCAAAACCCTCTTTTTCAATGGGATTGTGTTTAATACTGAATTAGGGTCAAAGAATATGCAGACATTTGCATACGTAACCTATTGACATTTGTTTGTAAGGTTCAACGTGAATACAGCTTCCCATGTATTATAAATCCGTTTTAAGAGTACTCCCATTTCCCATTTTTGTGCTTAGCTCCAAACATCAGCCCCTTGTGTCCCCCTGGTAGTGGATTATAATTTTCCAGTTGGGTTGACCTTCCTGCACTTAGACCATCTTTCTTTTTGTTCTTTCTCCATCAGGAAGACGTCAGTGGTGCATCATCTGCCTATTGGTCATCACTGGTGTGGTGATATTGATCCTTCTTTTTGCTCTGTGGCCAACTGACAGATGAACATAGGGAAAATGGAAACGATGCCACCAACCCCATTCCTTTCATGCGGAAAGCCTGAAGCCACCGTGGCTTTATGTCCTGTAAGGGGCGAGGGCTAGTGAAGACATGGGACAATGACAAGAATGTTGGATTCTAACTGGGCTTCCCTCCCTTGCATTCATACTGTTAGTTATTAGGAGCTACAGGTTTGCGACAAGGGAGGATTCTGCTTGTTGGTACTTATCAACCCCATCGAGGTAGTCCAAACTAGGAAACCAAAATGATGAATGCTAATACTATTTTTATTCTAAAATTATATTAATAGACTCTTGCAAGTCTGAAAGCACTTCCCCCTTCCCACCCATTCCCTGCCTTCACTTTCCAGAGAACTAGGGAGGGATAATCCTGAAGCCTTCTCAAATTATACTTCTGTTTTGGGCTCAGATTTCATTTATCAGACCATTGTCCAAACTGCAGCTCTTCTTTGTGCCTCACAAAGCTATTCTCACAGCCCATTCCTGTACTTTAGAATGGGAATTTGTGTAGTGTCTTTTCCTGCCATACTTGGGAAATAATTGGATTTGAATACCCGTGTTTCTTAAATGTGATCGTGCTGTACCCACTACGGGTCACCAACTTAGAAAAAAATAAGCAAAAGTGTTTATTTTCTGTTTTAGTCTTAAAAGATCTAATTCCTTCATACCAACTCTGAATCTGTGTAACTTATCTCTGCATGAAACGTATCTGATGAAGCACAGTTGACTTATACGGTTACCTATTTTCCAGCTGAACCAATCAAGAACGGTGGAAGAATTAAGATAGGGTAACAGTATGTCCTGCTTGTTGAGTTGGTGAAATTACTAAGGGTTGAAGATGATCTAAAGCTATATTTCTATTTAAATGCTTAATGAAACCAAATACCAGCCCTCAATCCCCCATCTGTCTGTTAGCTCTTTTCTAAAAATTGGGAGACAAAATTTTTTTGCCATTATGTAAATGTAGTCTACAGCACTGTGCATCAAGATGTAACTTATGGTGATACTTCTGGGCTAGGACAAAAAAATCTGACTTACCAATGTACCTGCTCTCTTTTCATCTTAAGCCTAGTAAAACATGGTGGACAGAGCATCTTAACATTGGCAAAGTGGATTTTGCCCTGAAAATAAAAAACTGGCTATTTTCAGGGAAGTCCCAGTGACTCAGTTTACTGTGAGCAATGTCTCTATGGGATACTTTGTTGTTACAGACATGCGGCTATTCCTTATATATATATAATATTATAGAGCAGAGATTGGCAGACTTAACTTGTAAGATCTACTTTATCTTAAAAAAATGAGGTTTACAAATCAGCTTGGTGCAAAGAATGCTGAACCTTGGAATTTAGAAAGATACTTACAGGGCTATTGTAGGGAGAAAAAATGTTTCTGGTTAGGTCAAGCTTTATATGGGTGAGGGGAAAGTTTTGGCTGCTGCTATTCTGAATTCTTGTGCTGCTGAAAATATCCAAATAATTGGATCTATCTTCTGCCTATCCCCTTTTAGAAGACAATGTTAAAAAACAACTTTTTTAAAAAATAAATATTTTATACTTGTATGTAAAGCGCCTGTTTTGGACTGTGTTATTGATGTGGGAAGGAATTGGCAGGATCCCTACACCCCTTAAAAGAATGAACATTGCTTGGCTTTGTCTGATATAATCAGTTTCACATTGTCTTCAGCTTTATCTACAGATGCTGGATACAAAAGTGGTAAGAAAATGTTGACGAAAACACAGCTGACTATGGAGACTTGATTTAACCATCATGGCCAATATCTGTAGATCCTCTGACGCTTTATTGTTAGACCATTCTGTAAGCTAATGTTAATATCATATGCCTCAAGCCTCCACTGCTTTTTTACTGTAAGCCACCTAGAGGTTCAGCTATTGAGTGCTTTAACATTTTAATAAATAAATATTTTGCTTAGTAGCTACTCTGCTAGACCCCAACAGTGAAGAGAAGATAACAAATTAAAGAATATTTCTATTTAATCCCTATCTCTTGCAGAAAGGGTGGGTAACCTGTCATTCCTTAACCTTAACCTGCAATGTCCCTTAGTGTTAGCTATGCAACTGGGAGATGCAGTTGGGCATTCACCGATGGGCCACATGTTGACACCCACATAGCAATACAAACTTTTCAGATAGTTGCTTCTCATAGCCAAAGGTAGGATATTTTTTTTACACAACAGTGAACCAAAACATGTATACAGTAGTGGCCAAAATTGTGGAAACCTTTTGAGAAAAGTATTTTTGAGGTTTGATGGCTAATAACACCACTTTTTTTTTGGATTATATATCAATGGAAAGACAATTTAATCAAGAATGTAATGCAACATAATTTGTTCAATTATCTGTACTGTATTCTATGAAAAGTTATAGCCAAATAACCAGAAAAAGGAAGCACAACTTGCTTAGGTTGATATCAGGTAGCTTTCCTTCATCTGATTGTAGCCAATGAGCATGAGTGTTTAGAGAGCCAATCAGGTGTCATCTTGTTTTGGCAATGAGCCAATCAGATCACAGTAAGATTCAGTTATTGATGTCATGTATTGAAGTTGAGAGGAGGACATTTGCCAGTGTGTTATGTGATCGCTATCAAGTTGGTGATTGCTATCACGTTGGTTGGGTTTTTTTTCCTTTCATTTAGTGAGCTTGTAAAACATGATAAAATTAAAGTAATGGTGCAAAGAGTTAACTGGTTGCCCAGAAAGCGATGTAAAATAGTATTATTAAGTGAACAACGCTACAGTTATAAAGAAATTAGAAGAAAAATTGGTGGAAACTTAATCAAAGGTGGTATTTCTACTGTACACCTTTCCCAAAAGGTTTCCACAATTTTGGCCACTAATGTATACTTGTAAATATATGCCAATTTTTCAGTGTGGCTTTCCACCAACTATGTACAAAACTCTAGATTTAGTTCCCATTTTCAGCAGAGTAACCATACCAAAGCAATCAGAATAACCAGGAAGAACCAGTTTGATCTATTGGTCAAACTTGCAACGTCACATGACGTGTGGCGACGTATTGTGACTTTTTCCCCCAATGCTGGCAATGGGGGTGGGTGCGGTTTTGGCATGACGCATCCGGCATGCGGGCCAACAGTTTGACACCCCTGGGTTAAGGCATCAGGCTAGGAACTAGGGGAGCTTAAATTCCAGTTCTGTCTTAGTTACAAAGCCAGGTGGGTGACTTTGGATCAGTCATTCTCTTCAGTCCTAGGAAGGCAAACCATTTCCCAAAAATCTTGCCAGGAAAACTGCAGGGGCTAGTTCAGGCTATCACCAGAAGTCAAAAAACTGACTTGAAGGTGTGCACGTGCATGCACGTGCACACCATGCATCATGTTTTGCAAAACGTTTACAAAATAAAAGTTTGTAGGCAAGAAATGTTCCTGAAGACATACTTCTACAGATTTTTCTCAGTATATTGGCAGAGCAGATGGTTTAAGGACACCTTCCCATACTGTTTCAAAGAGCCTTTCAGGTAGGGGTTAGGGAAAAGCAGATGCTAAAAATTGTTTTTCCCTCCCCATTTTACAGAGGGAGACCTCCACTGGATTACCACGTCCGTATTAACAAATGTCGCATTTTTTTACCTTAGAATTTGAAAAATACGATATAAAATTGTTAATGATTGTGTTAACTTTATTCCGTAGAGATACGATGGGTCAGAAATAGGACTATCCAAAGCTTGAATTCATTATTATATAAATCCACTCTGTAACTTTTGGCAAAGCTATCCATGACACCTCAGAATAATTAATGGACTTAATGAAAATAGCCAGGGACACAATTGTTACAAACTTTTTTTATTAACATTTCTGAATTCCTCTTTTTTTAATCTTTACAGTAGTTAATGTGCAATTCTTGATACTCTCAGGTCACAGGGATGAGGAGTCACAAAATTTTTCTTGGCACTTATAACACAGAACAAATACTGGCATTATCCGGGGGGCAAAGGGGAAAATTCAGAGGTAAAAGCGTGGGGTGCTGAGGGACCTGGGATGGGCTGAGGGTGGGAAAAGGGAGGTCTGCCATTGTTATTTTGTATTTTAAAGGATCGATTCTCCTCTCTGAAAGGATTTTACAAGGGGCAGGGAAGGGAGAGGTACTGATATATTGGACTAGCTGCTTGCATTAACCCAAAGCGCCTGGAAGGGGGGGAAAAAAGAGTCCATGCTGCATCTGCACAGAGGTTACACAATCAGGCTTTGTTAGTGCTTTCCGTATACATTTTTGTCCTTTTAAAAAAGATTTTGTTTGCTTTAGTTAAGAAAAAAATGACAAATCAAATATCTATTACTGTCCTAGACCAGCGTATAAATGTCAAAAGGAAAATAAAAGATGACCAAAATGAACACAACGAAAGTCAGAAGGCCTCCCATCCCCTCTGCATTCTGCTCTTGCCATTGTTAACAGCCTACCCAAGATGCAAAAATGCCACTAGAAGAAATTCCTAAGTAGGTTGGAAAAAGGCTCAACAAAGGAGGAGTCCAGCTGAATTTTCCGAGATTTTCGGGGATTTAAATGTGGGCATCAGATTTTTCCTAAGTATGCCAAGTGGGTGAAGATACTTCCTGTTCCAGAAAGTAGGTGCTGAATGTCCTCCTGGCTACTTCAGCTACCATCCGTTGAGACCAGGCAGTGAATATGAATTGCAGCAAAGTGGATCCCTGCTGATTACAGACTACAGTCCCAAAGGCCCTTGGTCTGCCCGGACTTCAGAACTCCTCTCCCCTGTAACTCAGTTTTAGACATTGAGCCTGGCAGTTCTGCCTTGGAAGACAGACCAGCTTACAACATTGACAATGGCAACTCTTCTAAGGCAGTTCAGCCTCCTGGTGGGAGAAGCAAGCAATGTACAACTTTGTTCTTTTTTCCCTACAAGGTTCCAAAGTCGATCACACCTGCTGCCAATAAAATAAAGGTCCATCACATGTGAAACACGAATGGCAAGATACTATTCAAATTGTCTTCCAGTGTAAATAAAATTACTAGGTTATGCACCACCAGAATTACTT